TGTATGTTGTGTGTGTGTGTGTGTGAGTGTGAGTGTATATTGTGTGTGTGTGAGTGTGAGTGTATATGGTGTGTGTGTGTGTGTGTGAGTGTGAGTGTATATGGTGTGTGTGTGTGAGTGTGTGTGAGTGTGAGTGTATATGGTGTGTGGTGTGTGTGTGTGTGAGTGTGAGTGTATATGGTGTGTGTGTGAGGACATTCTGCTCGTGTCTTTATAAGGAACATCCGTGATTATTTGTCTCGAGGCAGAGAGATGGACATATAAGCTTGACTGAATCTTCTCAAGACTCCTCTGTTCACGTTTGGAAGGAAGTTCTCGTCTGGATGTTTTCATGGCATCACTGTAAACACTCCCGGTTGGAAGTCTCTCGAGGTCCCGGCAGAACTCAATCACACATCTGTCATTAAAGCCATTCTCTTTTGGGGAGCTCATCATTCTTCTTATGTTGTATTTTTAATCATATTCACTTTTTATTTGCAATCTCATGATGAACGTGATCGACTGGCAGCGGGATCAGATGTGTATCTCCTGGAACGATGATGATGATGATGATGATGATGATGATGGGTTATCTGCAGGTCTGTGCTGTTTAACGAGGCGCTTGTTTTTCTACACGATTCTGAACTGCAATAAAACCATGATGTACTGAAGTAAGATATCCACACAACACTGGGTGTAAAGAGAGATTATTATTAATAATAATAACAGTTGTCCAACACTCTGTTCCAGTCGTTATTTCTCACGGACGATGATGATTGTCATTATATTATCTCGGCTCATCAGGTGTGTTTTTAAGTCAGTGTCACAGCTGTATATGTGAGTATCTTTACATTCTGAATTTAAACACAGACTCCTGGTGTTGGAACAGTTTTAGATATTTTGATATTTCAATATCTGTGCTTTGTCTGCTGTTGAAAGATCATTGCTTTGTAAAAGAGGCCTGTTATTCACTTCTGCGGTCTCTTAGGATGTTTCTTGAACTCTTACCACTATAAAATCATCAAATACAGAATATTGCGAAACTCAGATTTCAGCCAAAGTGACTTCACTGAAGAACTCATTTATTTTATGCTTATTATGATCATTTTTATTTTATTGAAAAAAAATGTTTGCATGCAAAGAACAGTTTTATAGGGAGTTACTGGTCTCAACTTGTTTTTCTTATTTACAAACTTATTTTAAAGGTTGAAAGCTTTTACTAGCAGAATCTTTGAGGTGAAATGTTAGACGAGGGGGTTTTCTTGTGTGTATGAAGGCATCTGTTAAAAAACAAATGCAGTTGATTTGTGACGTCATGGATCATGTGACGTGAAGACGGCGGAACTGAATCCGATCCGGATCCGGACTCCGCATCAGGTTCTGGACCGCAGGTAAGACTCACTGACTAGCGTTTTCAATCCGACGGGACTCGGGCAGAAATCGTATGTGGGGTAAAGCAGCGGGGCTTTTATTATGCCACAGTCGAGCGCTTCCGCTGCTTCCGGTCGTGCGTGTGTGGGGTAAAGCGTGAGAGTGTGTGAGAGTGTGTGAGAGTGTGTGAGAGTGTGTGAGAGTGTGTGTGAGTGTGTGTGAGTGTGTGAGTGAGAGTGTGTAAGAGGCCTGTTATTCACTTCGACAGAATTTAACAATCTCTCTTAGGATCTTTCTTGAATTCTTTTAACTTTATAAAATCATCAAATACAGAATATTACGAAACTCCAATATCAGCAAAAGTGACTTCCCTGAAGAATTCATTTCTTTTATGCTTATTAATTAATTTTTTGTTGCAAATAACTTATTTCAAACAAACTTATTTGAAAGGTTTAAAAGCATTTACTTGCAGAATCTTTGCGGGAAGATGTTAGATACGGTTTTTCCTCATTTGTATAAAGACATCTGTTGAAAAAAGAACATGTATGCACTTGATTCATGACGTTATGGTTAATGCCTGGATCTCTGTAACGTGAAGAGATCAGAACCGAATTAAAAGTGGATCTGGACTCGAGAGCATCAGATTCTCTGGACCGAAGGTAAGACTCGTATTACTTACTCAAGTGATTAATACAGAAGATATATGCACATTGTTTTGTATATTTGACTGTTATAACCATATGTACATCATTTAAGCACTGGTTATTATACATTATACCTTTTTTAATCATTTGTAATCTGTACATATACTCTCACAAACACAGTTTATTAGGCTTCTACAGTCATATGCTGTACAGGATCTGCCTACCAAATTTATCTTTTTTTATTTCATTTGAATCTCTCAGATGCATCATGAGCAGTGCTGGGAAAGTTACTTTTAAAAGTAATGCATTACAAAATTGCATCGCTCCCTATAAAGTAACTAATTACGTTACTTAGTTGCTTTTTGTGGAAAGTAATGCGTTACATTACTTTTGAGTAATTTTTTAAAATCTAGGCAGGGCTTGCTTGTTTGTTTTTAATATAAAAAAATGCCTGATTGTCCACTTCTTCTTTGTGGTGTGCCACGTACCCGGCGGGTCTGAAAGGATCATGCCGTTCCTCTGGGCTTGTCTCAGGAACAACGTCAGCCAGAGTCTCAGCCTTGAGCACAAACTTCTCCAGATAGCCTCTGTCCTCAGAGTCAGACGCTTGACTGTGGAAGGATTTCTCGGAGGTCACGCTCTCGATGTCATCGTCCTGCTTCTTTCTGGTACCGACGGCGTCTGCGTACAGGTCTGAGTAGAGAAACGCCAAGGCTTTGGGCTCCTCGAGCAAATTGGGGTCGATGATTTTCGGAGGACCTTCGGGAAGGTATATGGGAGTGAGAACCGACTCCTCGCTTCCAAACAAGGCGCTTCCGCTTTCCTTCAGAGAGGATCTGGAAAGCTCTCTTTCCTTTTCACTAACACTTGCAGCAGTAGGTGGCTCGCTCCCTCCGCCGTAAAACACATCGTCCAAGTGTTCGCCAGAAATGTCTAGCATACTCACAGCTGAGGAGACTCCAGAAAGTCCAGGTCCTGGTTCTGCTTCAGGACCATCTTCTTCTGTGACCTTGTCCTCTGTCTCCCGTTGGGCTTCTTCAACTGGTGCTGCTCCTGATGGAGCTTGATGGTCAAGGAGCGTGAACTTCTCAAAGTAGTCCTCGGTCGTCTGTCCTCCTCGGGATATTTGGATAGACGGGACAACAGGCTCTGGTATCAATAAAACGCTCTTCTCCATCTCTACAGTCTCAAAGTCCAGCTCAGGTTCGTCCGGGATCTCTGCGGATTTCACAGCAGGCGTCTCCTCGAGGTAATACAAGTTATCTTCCAGACCTTTGCTCTCCTCTTCATCCACGGTGGAGACTCTCGGCAGAGCGATGATGTTCAGTATCTCAGATCCTTCAGAGACGAGACTGAACAAACGCTGATGCTTTTCTTCTCTCAGATCAGCTGTTTTGTGTTCGTCTGTTCCTTCTTCCCGTGTCACATTCGGCAGAGACACTTCCACCATGGCTGGTCTCTCTGCTTCAGCGAGGATCTCGTGGCTGACCTGAGGAAGCGTCTTAGATTTCTCAGACTTTGGCTTCCTCTTTCTTCGGCTCATCAGTTCTTCGTCCATAATGAAGACGATCCTGCCGGCCGCTCCGGAGCCGCAGCAGCTATATCCGGGTTCGGAGGCCAGCGAGTTGAACTCTGAGGCCCAGGGTGTGGAGCAGCGGCTGGAAGCGGTTTCCCAAACGATCCCGCTGTCCTCGCTCTGGACCGTCACCATCGAGAAGGACGGATCCATCATCAGGCAGTGGAGCTTCGGCTTGACCGCACCATCCTGGACCACCTCTCTTAAACTGCAGGGTATTTAACATTAAGCATATCATTAGTAACGAACTGATATTTGTGATCCTATGTTGGAAACGTCATGCTAACAAGAGCTACTGTACCAGTCAAAAGGTTTTTAATGATTTTAAAGAAGTCTCTTCTGCTCACCAAGCTTGCATTTATTTGATCCAAAACAGTTAAATTGTGAAATATTTTTACTATTTAAAATAACAGTTTTCTATGTGAATATCTGTTAAACTGTAATGTATTTCTGTGATGTGCAGCTGTATTTTCAGCATCATTCCTCCAGTCTTCAGTGTCACATGATCTTCAGAAATCAGTATAATATGCTGATCTGCTGCTCAAGAAACATTTCTGATTATTATTATTATTATCACGATTTCAAACAGTAACAATATTTAAAACAGTTGAGTACATTTGATTCAGGATTCTTTGATGAATAGAAAGATCCAAAGATCAGCATTTATCTGAAATAAAAAGTTTTTGTACTAATTAATACATTTTAACATGTATTCAAATAGAAGACAGTTATTTTAAATAGTAAAAATATTTCAAAGTTTTACTGTTTTTGCTGTACTTTGGATCAAATAAATGCAGGCATGGTGAGCAGAAGAGACTTCTTTAAAAAACATTAAACATTATACAGCTGCGGTTTGACATGCTTGATCTCTCTAATGTGTGTTTGAGGTTCTCACCTGTTGCTCAGATCCTCCAGCTCATCGTTTAGCTGTTCTTCTGCCAGCGTGTCGTCCAACAGTGCTGTCATCTGGCTCTCTGGATCCATTATTTCCATCGTTTCCATTTTTGTTGCAGGTTGCATTAATCAGAGGTGCTTTGCAGGCGAACGGGTCGCTCTCTTCGTGTCATTTCAGCTGTGGGAACTTTCTCTTGCTCAGCATTATCTGTAAATAGCCTGACGTGGCGTCCCGTTTTCTGCAGAACGCAGTGAGGCATGCTGCATCTACTCGCAGGGGCCAGTCATCCTCAAAAGGTGAAATTTTAATTGTGCTTGAAGATTTATCAGCCCATCCTGGTAACAGCAAGGCTGTCCAGAGTTTAACTTTGCGATCCTGGTGTCATTATGAAAGCAGGGATTGGGTTTTTTGCATCGACCTGCCAAACCTAAAAATACTTAACAGATACGTGAGCTTCTCAGAGGCGCTGCAGGTCGTGATGAGTCGAAGGAAAACAGACTAGATGCTTATTACGGGCTACAAGTCAAATATTCACCCATGCTGAAATTCTGTTTTCAGGTGTTGTGTTGCAGCAGTTTCACATTCTATGGCTGTTTCTTACCTTTACATTTTTTTAAATACCAACAAGAGATTCTTATGTGACATATTTAGGCTTAACATGGTTATGGAAAGTGTAAAAATGTGTAAAAAAAAAGTGTAAAAAAGCATTGTAAAATTGTGAATTTTCTTTTTTTCCCCTAGTTATTCTGAGTTCTAAAATAGAAATATGGGTTCACATCCCGGACGAGCCCCCACTTTGTTAC